GTTTGAGGATCTATTCCTCAGGGGTCACATGGGCTTGGGAGGAGCCCCTGGCTCCTTTCTTTTACCGGTTCTGCCTATGTGAAGATAAGTCAAAGGTCCTACTTGACCATGGCTGGCTTTACTTGGAAGCATGGAGGAAATGATTCCTCTGTGTTGACCCTCCTCTTTGTAGACTGCACACTGGTTCAAGTCCATCTGGTGGGGTCTTCTCGGCCTCTTTGATCAAGAGGACAGGTGAACCACCACCATTACAGGACATTTTGAGAGATGCTCATAGTCCCCTGGAACTAGTCGAACTAGGAGGGCAAGGAGCAAAAACTGTCCTTTATGTCCCTCTGACCAAATTAGTATAGGCCTCCAAGTATGTCTGTTAAACATCCAAGAAGGTTAGTTCCACCAGTCTGATACTTTTAATTATTGTGTGCCATGTAGATAAATCTTGGACAAAGACCAATTGTTCTCAGATAAACCTTACCTACACATATATTTCTTGATCTGCTATGTATAATTTCTCATCTTCCAGATGGAATCATTAGATTCCAGAAGTCCACATTTCCTTTCGTTAAACCAGCTTTACCAGGTGCTATTTTCTCTTGTATACTACTGGATTGTATTTGCTGGGGCATTTATACCTATATTCAAAATTTAGATGTCTACAGTTTCCCTGAACTATCTTTTGTTTTTTTGAAACAGGTTCTCACTCGTATACCCCTGGCTGGCCTTGAACTCACTATGTAGAACAGGCTGGCTTTGAGCTCACAGGAGATCCTCCTGCCTCTGCCTCCCAATGCAAGGATTAAAGGTGGGCCTACCACCATGCCCTGCCCTCCCTAAACTATCCAATTTTTGCTGAAGAAAATGGATCAAAAGAGAATTTGGGTTTCAATGGGAAACATGAAAAATGCTTACTGAAATGCTAACATCTGAGATGGAGAATGGAACATATTTAAATGCTGATATGAAACCAATAGCTGAAGAGGAGCAAAAAATAATGACAATGTGGTTTCATATATGCAGAGCATTAAAAGGACACCAGCTTTGAAATGCTCAATCGGTTAGGGCACTTGCATCAAGCCTGACAACTCGAGTTCAACCCCACAGACCCATAGGGTAGAAGGAGGAGGGAACTGGTTCCCAAAGTTGTCCTGACTTCCACATAAGCCCTAGCATCCCACCCCTACACTTAAATAAATAAATAAATAAGTAAATGTAAACAAAAGGATCCCTGAACTATGGTAGAATGGAAGTGATCCAGCTCACTGAGATCCACACGCTGGCTTGGATTTGAGGGACAGCCCAGCTACCGGTTTCTGTTTTCACCAGTGTGATGCTGCCTGTACCCACTTACTTGTTTGGGGGCTTATGTAATGCATAGGTATTTCAAAGAGCAACTGCTGCTAGTCGTTGGGACAGTTTTTCATGTTAACACCTATATCTACTTTTGGAGACACTAATAAAATTCTTTAAGAAATTCAAACCCAAAATTTCATCCTCTACTTCCAGCACTCAATCTCACCAACAAACAGAAATTCATGAAACCTTAAAAGACAAAAATCAGAGACAAAATATCATAGAAAATAATGAAGCAAAAGTTTTATTTCCAAGCTTTTCAAAGTTATTACAAACACAAATCAGGTTTCCATCTAAAAGTGTCCCAAATTAAATCAAAGGCACATCACTCAAGCGAAACACACTTGTGACTTGACTTCTTTTTAGGTTGTAGTATTTTCACATTGTCTTTTAACCATTTTCAATGTTCTGTATGTGGGTCACATTTTAAACATTTTTAGAAAACAAATAATGTAGCATATTTTTAAAAGTATAAGTACAATTACAAAAGAGAAGGAACTAAAAAAAAAATCCAATCTGCTTTATATATAAGATGGGGCAACCTAACACGCAAGACAGCATCAATCCTTTCAAACAGGTTTCCTAAGAAGCTGCTCCCAAGTTTAGTGTTAAAAATAAAACAATATTCTCGTTTAGAAATGAGCAACTTCTTGCTTAGAAAATCAGGGTATTAGCCTGTTCTTAATTTTATACTTTCTTGTCTTAGTAACTGTAAATTCTTAAGAACAAATTTTATTATAATATAAAAATGTTAGCAACAGCAAATTACAAATACTCAATTTTTGTAATACAAATGTTTTCTTCCTAAAATGTAAACATCCAGTAAATAAAACATACCTGTCACTCCAGGCACAGCAACACTAGTCCCTCACCTACGGAAGAGATGCATCTTAGTACATTTGGTGGCATGGTTTCTATTTGTCATTATATAAAATACTTCAGCAAAAGAACTAGGCCATTTACTATTGAAAACTTTACTCCTTCATTAGGTTTTCTTATTTGAATAAAAAAAAAAATCACTAATTTCTGTGGAATTTGGCTATTGGAGCAGGCCACAGAGACGGCCTTAAATATCTGGAAGTCATTTGGCTGGAGAAAACTGCTTTCTTGGGACTTGACTGGAGTCAGTCATTCATCAGTTTGTGCTTGAAGGTCTTCCTCAGTGAACGTCTTCCCTACTGGAAAAAAGAGTTGGGATGGTTTTCATGTTAGTAAGATTTATTTATAAAACTAATTATTCATTATTTCCTAGGGCACCTAATGTTTACAAAGTAGGAAGTAGGCTATTAATACAGTAAAATTTCCAAACCTGTCCTTGTATGAGCAGTACCCTCAAAAATGCTTTGTAAAAAGAAAAATGCTATGCCAATAAGACTATTATTTTAATTACCTAAATGTGTACATTTTCCATTACATTCAGTAATACAATTACTTCCTTAATTAAATGTGAACAACTTCCTTTTGCAAGTATGTGAAAAAGACCTTAGAATGATTACTTCCTGCATAAACATCTTTTTAGAAAAAAAAATATATTTTTTTATTTTATGTGTATGAGTGTATTGTATGCATGTATGTGGGTGCACCCGTGTCATCCACTGCCACGGAGGTCAGAAGAGGGCTTCAGTGGAACTGGAGTTAAGGACGGTTCATAGCCGCCATGTGGGTGCTGGGAATTGAACCTGGGTCCTCTGCAAGAACAGTCAATGCTCTTAACCACTGAGCCATCTCTCAAGCCCCCATAAGCAACTCTGAAACACATAACTTGAGATATGTTGGTCCCAAAAGACTCTGATAATTTATGACCTTGTCCTCTTAAAAAATAGTGGCAATTTAGCCAGATGAGGTGGCCATACACCTATAATCCCAGCACTCAGGAGGCAGAGGCAGGTGGATCTCTGTTTGAGGCCAGCTTGGTCTATATAGTAAGTTCCAGGCCAGCTGGGGCTATAGAGAGACCCTGTCTCCCCTGCCCCCCCCCCAAAAAAAAGATGAAAATTAAATAAGATCCTCAATACAAAACATTCAAATTCACGGCGTTCTAATATACAACACAAAGGTCCTCATTTTAGTTATCAACTGTTAAAATTCTTTTAGCCCTATTCACACTTCCCTCCCAGTAACATTTTGTCTTTCATTAAAACAGAGACACAGTTTGGGAGCTTTTGAAAAAACAAAGTTCATGGTAGGTAGGTAGGTAGAAGTGTGCTCCTCTGTGGAGTCCTTAGTCCCAAGAGATGCAGATCAGCTGGCAACACCAAAAGCAAATCAAAAATCTGTGATGGTGCAGGACAGGGGCTGGATTAAGGTTCAAGAAATTACTATCAGTCAGTTCAGTTAAAGAGCTCAGTGCACAAAGCTATTAGTACCAAAGAGAACTGAGCTGCTAATCAGATGTCATCTACATGCAGAGAAACTACAGACAGGAATCGTCCTTCAGGGAAGGTAAGCATTTTGCTTATCTTTTAATGTCTATTGCCCACCTCCCTTGGGAAATCCTCTCATAATGTCATGGGTGGCATGGTGTGTAATTACCAGACTTCAGAGTAAAGCACAGGATCTGGGCTCTCGGAAGGGGTTGCTTCCAGCTGGAACACCAACCAGCAGGGCATCCTTGCAGGCATTCTGCATGCAGTACTGCTGCAGCTCTGCAGCTGCCTGAGAGACCTGAAACACAGGTACAATATGATGCTCTGCTCACAGCAGGACCCTCAGGAGTCATCCCCACTCAGGGAGCCATCACACAACCTGACAAGGCTATGGTCTGCATTATTACCCAAGTGTCTGCTGAATCCAATCCCTGAGTTCCAACGAGGAAAGCCTGCAATGTCTGTGATTCAATATAGGGTGCTTTGGGTTTAGTTGTTTATTCAACAAAAGAAAAAGCTGTACTTTGGATCCATTTAGAATTCTAATTTTGAGACTGAATTGGTGAAGAAACAGCTCATTCTTACGCTCACAGTACAGATTTCTATCATGTAACACATGCACTAATAATCTAAAACTGCCATGTAAGCAAACTGTTCTTAGGCCTACAAAACTGGAACTTTATCTAGTCTGTGCCTAACAAGTGATAAAATTATTCTACTATGCTTTTGGGGCAGTATTTTATTATCCAAGAATCAGTATCTGTGGGGCGTGGTGGCACATGCCTTTAATCCCAGCACTCAGGAGGCAGAGGCAGGAAGATCTCTGTGAGTTCAAGGCCAGCTTGGTCTACATAGTGAGTTCCAGGACAGCTGGGACTACAGGGAGACCCTGACTCAAAAAGACCAAAAACAAAGAGTATCTGTGGCTGGAGGGTGTGCCTCAGTGATAGAATGCTTGCTTAGTATAAGTGCAAAACAATAATAGTACTAATAATAGTAATAATAAATAAAATAGGGCTCATGAGATGGCTTAGCAGGAAAAGATGCCACCAAGCCTGAAGACCTGAGGTCAATTGGCAAATTGTCCTCTGACCTCCACAAGCATTTTTTGATACACACACACACAAAAAATGTAAAATAATGAAGAAAGAATGCATCTTTTGGGGGCTGAAGAGATGGCTCCATGGTTAAGAGCACTGGGTGACGCATGTTTGGTTCCCAGCATGCACACAGCAGCTTGAAATTCCTTGGACCTGGAGAATCTGATGCCCTCTTCTGGTGTCTGTGGGCATTGCACACATGTGGTGCACTTATATACATGCAGGCAGAACACTCAAAGCGCATGAATTTTTTTCTTAATTAAAAAAAAAAACAAAAACCTTTAAATGTTTTAAACTATCAAGGCTTGGGGTGGCCTATAAAGCAGCAAAAAAATACCTGATCCAATACTACTATGCCTGTTATTAGTTACTTTTCTTACTGTTGGGACCACATACCTGAAGAAGCAACTTAAGAAAAGGTTTATTTTGGCTCAGTTCCCCACCTCCTTTAGCAGTTTCTGGAGCCACCCTCACAAACACCCAAAGGCCAGCCTCACTAATGCTCTGGACATCAGTTCCTCAGTCCAATCAAGTTGACAAGAAGATTGCCCACCAAAATACCTTTGCTTTTAACTCTCCATTTAATGCATATTTTTACAGGAGGCTTTTCTAACTTTCCACTGGTCTTGCACTGAAAGGGTAAATTTTGAATAAAAACTCATAGCGTGAGAAAAATGGCTCTGTTTGCTATCAAATCTTATTTGTGTTAATTTTCTAAACTATTAAATAAGTGAAATAGTACCTGCTATTATGTTAGACATTGCCTGAGCATGTCCCCCAAGGGTTCCTGTGTTGAAATTTAATCTCTACTAGGAGGTCTTAAGAGGGTTGGAAACGTAAACCACTATGGTCCTTAGAGGTTAATCTTTGGGAGATGGCTGGTATTAAGAGTCACCAGGGTGGAGCTCCCATAACTGAATACTGACTGGAGGCTTTATCTGCAGGAGAGAGACCAGAGGACACACAGCACACATGCTCTCTGCCTCCTACCAGGAGAATCCCTGTGCTGTCTTGGGAAGTGGCCAGCAAGAAAGCCATCACCAAATGCAGCCCCTGTAGACCTTGGATCCTCTAGAACCATGAGCTAAAATAAACCTGTTTTCTTTTTTTTTTTTTTTTGCCTTTTTGAGACAGGATCGCCTGATAGCTCCAGCTGGCCTGGAACTCACTATGTAGACCAGGCTAGCTCACAGAGATCCATCTGCCTCTGCCTCCTGAGTGCTGAGACTAAAGGCCTGCACCACCACACCTGGCTAAACCTGTTTTCTTTATTAACCAGTCTATGGTACTCAGCTATTAGCAACAGAAAACAAACTAACACAATTGTTACAGTTGTTACTAAGTTTCTGACGTGCTTTAGGAATTTGGTTTTATTGCTATAATTTTTAATTGATGTCTATGAACAATAGAACAAGACTAATGCCAAAGCTTATTTTCCATCAATAGAAACCCTGATACTTTCACGTTAATTATACTTGGAATGAATGGTTTTATGTTATTAATTTTAAAAGAAATATACAACTAATCATGCCCAAGCTTATAGTGTACCAGGGAAATGGGTCAGTTCTACATATGATGAATAGGAAAATCTTCAAGATCCCTGGAGAAATGGGACAAGCTGGACCCTAGCCTCAAGAATATTTATAAGGTAAGGGAGTGTGCAGAGAAAACAAGACAAAAGTAAGAGTGGTCAGCATCTCTCTAACTGCGCCAAGAGACACTTGGATAGGCAAGGACAAGTTGGATACCTGCAAGCTGTCCCCTGCATGGATGTGGGGTTACCCACCTGACTTTCCTGGGCTCACCTAGTAACTTCTTAGGGGCTGCTCTAAAGGAGGAGTCCTTGATTCAACAAGTCTTAATAGTCATTGGGAAGGAACATTCTCTGTAATTGCTAGAGACCCAGTGCTTGGATTGTTGGCTGATAGCAAGCCTATTAGAGATGTGTCCGAGTGCACTCAGAACATCCAAGGCTGAGCTCCGAAATGAATCTGGCCAGATTCTGGCATGTGACTCCCTAAAGTGTTCCCCAAGAGGGAACTGCTGAGGCCAAGCACTCCGGACCATAGTACTTAAGATTATCTTAATATGCTTACTGTTACCCTGAGCAGTCCACCTGAATTCCGGGTGTTTCATCATTCACGATTCTTTTTTACGTGTAGAGAAGATCCTCTTCCCTAGCTCCTTCCAGTTAACCAGGCATCTGACGGTTTTCCTCTCCAGCTCACGCCTACATGGTATGGCCATTTCCAACAACTCTAGTATCAGCTTCTGATTTTCTCTCCTTGAACGACCTTCTCTGCCAATGGTTTATGGACTGCTCTGCTACTTTCAGATCCTTTTATTACCGTGTTCTCTGATCTCTGATCTCACGACCACTAGCTGTCACCTCCTCCCTCCCTTTTTTGTCTTCATACTGGGAAGGCTGTTTCTCTAGCCAGCCTTTTTCCAGCCAGACCTTCAAGTTCCTTGGCCTTTGCCCCAACCCCTACTTTCCGGCCAACTTCTGCTCACCCACTATTTGGATCAACTAACATTTGCGTTCTGCCTTCAGAATCCTGAGTGGTCAGGTGCTGGGAGAAGGGAAAAGAATTACAAACCAGACACAGGACCTCCAATCACACAGCGGCGGGGCCTACAGTGTGTCTATGGGTGTGCCTGCTCAGAGAGGGCTCAGGGCCTGCTCAGGCCCGCAGGCTCCAGAGTGGTCTAGTTCCCTTTCGACCGACAAGACAACTCGATTTCCTGTTTCACAAAGATTTCTATCATCAACAATGGAAGCACATCCTCACCTTTCTTCCAGCCCGAAGACGCTGCTCATCCCAAACCCCCATAGAGCTTGTCTACAGTCAGCTCTCCTCCATTTCTTTCTTCCCTCAACCTAAACATGTATTCTTTCCGTGCTTTCTCTTGCCTCCCCTCCTCTAGGCAGGCTCTTCTGACTGGTCCCTGGTGGCACACCATGCTTGGCGCTTCTATTTGGCGTTTTTACACCCACACATTTTAATGGCTTCTTTCGGCCTGGTGCTCTAAGCTAAATCTGTCCTGGATATCTATATAATAAGATCCGCAGATCCAAGACGAACTCATTTCTCCCAAACTCCCTTTCTTTCTTCGCTAGTTTTGCGGATGGCAGCTGAAGAAAGCCGAGCATCCTTTTCCTCCCTCGCATCCTTTCATCCTTCCACTCGGTGGCGTCCCCATCTCGAGATGGCATCCGCCCGCACCCGTGACAACGTGTCCCCTGCACCACTGGCCCCTCGGAGTCACTGGCCTCCGGGTGTAGGGACAAGCCCACGGGACTCTGGACTCGGGCCACACCCGGGGATAGGCCGCGGCGCCGGGCGCACCTGGTAGGGTCTCGCCACCCCGGACCCACCCACGACCCCGAGCGCTCAGGCCCGCGCCGCCCCACACCCACCCGCGACCTCGAGCGCCCAGGCCCGCGCCGCCCGGCTCCCTCCTGCAGACCCCGAGCGCCCAGGCCCGGGGCGGGCAGCAGCGGCCACTTCCGCGGCCCGCGGCCTCCTGCTCTCCCGCCGCTCGGGGTCGCGGGATCCTTCGCTGGCACGGGCGCTCACCTTGATCCTCTCCACGCCCGCCTCCAGCTTGAGCTGCTCCACCAGGCGCTGCAGGGCGCTCACGCTGGCTCCGGAAGACATGGCGGCAGCGAGGGTTCGGCGGACTGCAGGACTGGGCGGAACCGCGGCGGAGCAGGGCACCGCCCCGGGGCGGGCAAGCCGCAGAGCCCGCCCGGCCGAGCGCGTGTGAAGCCTCGGGATCCCGAGGAGATGCATCCGGGAGGCTGAGACGTGCTCAGCCACGCCCATCTCCACTGCCAGTGGGGCGCCTGGGACCCGGGAATCCTTGGGCGGTGTGCGCCTTCACACTCGGTCCCCGACCGCCGCCTAGGTCTGAATGAAATCCGTAGGAGAAATAAGGGACCCGGGGCAGGCTAGATCCCGAGGAAGGGCAGACACTAGGATTTTTTTGAAGCAGCAGCAGGCCAATTTGCAAACCTGTTACTTTTGAAGTCGGAGAGGTATGATAGTCACGTGGGGTAAAAAGCGGAGACCGGTATCTTTGTGAAACATACAGATAACATCAGTTCTCTCACCCCCAATTATGACTATCCTTTCCAGTCGCCTGCGTACTTTTGTTTTTAATGCGCACATTTGTTTTACAAAACTGGGACCATTACTATACGTAAAAATGTTTTCTTCACTTAACACACAACGACTGTGTCATTATTCCTGCATAACATCGTATTTGTCAGGACCTACTTAAATGCAAAAGGGAGTAAGTCTGCTTGCTTAAATAAAACGTCCGGGGACTTTAAAGCAGAATTACCTAAACTGTACTTTCAAGGTTCTCTGCTGAGTGTTGGTCTCCCTTTCTTCACTGGTATACTGACCCTCACTAGTACTGGGAGGAAAGCGCCAAGCCTTCTTTAACCCAGCCTAGCCAACCCAGTATTAAGAGTACTTTTCTTATGGTGGTGGTGGTGGGGGGGAACCCAAATGAAAATCTGTGGGGACTTCCCTTCAACTAACTGCTACTACAAAATAAGGATTTGTTGCAATGATCAGATTGGTTGCTTGAGGCATGAGGAAGGCTCTTATCATTCCCCCCCTCTTGTTGAGTGCTCTGGTACCCAAACACCCTATCCCCCTTCCCCCATCCATCCATCCATCCATCCATCCATCCATCCATCCATCCATCCAATCCCACCCCTCCACTAGCTGAGTTCCCTCTGGGCCCCATCCAGGCCAAGATCACACCCCTCCATTGCCAGCCTTCATGCAGTTAAGACATCCCCACTCTTACCCCTGCCCCTAGAATTTAGCAACTACCCTATTATTTAACACCAGAATGGCCACCATAAACACACAACTTTGTGCTTTCCCCTATACTTCCTTAAGAAGTAGAAATGATTGGGTCAAATACTAATGTTTAAGCCAAGCATGGCAGCTCATGCCTGTGATCCCACCACTTCAGTAGCTGAGGCAGAGCTATCTTGAGTTAAAGGCTATTAAGATGTGCTACAAGACCAGCTCATTAAAAAAGAGAGAGCTGCAATGTAGTAGTGCTTGTTTTTTGTTTTTTTTTTTTGTTTTTTTTTTTTGTTTTTTTTTTTTGTTTTTTTTTTAAATCCCAACACTCAGAGACAAACAGGTGGATCTCTGTGAGACTAAGGCCAGCCTGGTTCCAGCTGGCGCTGCAGGAAGACCCTGTCCAAAACAAGAGAAAAAAAAATCTGTGCATTTAAGGCCTTTCCTACTTTACCTTACCAAAAGTAGTAGCAATTTTCTCATTGAAAGATGAGTATCTGTTCCTATGCCACAATATCATTCAACCCTATATGGATGTTCTTTACCACCCTAATAGAAGAAAAATGGTATCAAGTATTTAAATGCCTTAACTACTGAGGTTCAATGTTTCCTATGTTCTTTATAAAGATTTTGTGTGTTTGCTCAAATGTGTGCAAGTGCCTGCAGAGGCCAGAAGATGTAGGATCCTCGGAAGTTGGAGTTACAGGCGTTTGTGATATAGGTCCTGGGAACAGAACTTGGGCCCTCTCTAAGAGCAGCAAGAGCTGTTGACCACTGAGCCATCCATCCAGCCCCATCCCATATTCACTTAGTGAGCCATGTGTCCATGGTCTTTGGAGTAATAAAATCCTACCTAGTGAAGCACACACATTTGAGCCTTCTCTGGCTGCATTTATCACAAAGGATATGAAAGAGATGAAGTATATTACCAGATTGATAGAATAGAATGGCTGTGTATGTTAAGAAGATATGACAAAGAACTCAATAAAAGATACAAACTAGGGGTTGGGGATTTAGCTCAGTGGTAGAGCGCTTGCCTAGAAAGCGCAAGGCCCTGCGTTAGGTCCTCAGCCCTATATACAGACCAAACCTTGAAAGGCTTCTGGGACAGTGAGACCTAGACCTTGACCTGTCACGCAGATGGCTCCAGAGTGGAAGAGAGTAGCTGCAGTGTACACGCGTAGTAAGGACGAATGAAAAAAGTGACAGAACGTCACACAAAACTCTCAGGCCAAGTCACGGAAAACCTAAAAACAGAGACCAGTCTTGTTGTGGTGACAGGAGTGGTTGGAACAAGGCCCAGGTAGGACTGCGAAGATAGGAATAGGCGAGTGAGTGTCAAAAGACTGAATCAATAGTATTTCATAGTGGTTATGAAATGCAAAGAGGCCAAAGGGTTGTGAGGCAGACGACAGAACTGACAGCAATATTAGAAATTAGGAGACGAGTGTAGGTTTAAGATGAGTAAAGAACAATGCTGAATTTGTTAGGAGAAACTAGGTGCTGTTGCTACCTGCAGTCCTCCAAGCTGTTGAGAATCTTCAGTAAACAAGGCATCAATGTGAGAGTCACCTGCACAGCAGAGGCAGCTCAGTACTGAGGTATCAGAAATGAAGGCTTTGGGGTTGCCCAGAAGGAAGACATCATGCTGTACCACTCACTGCTACTGCCTACGCCTACCTCAGAGTGCTTTTGCGCTGTTCAAGAGGAATGGTCTGACTCTGAAGAAAAGTAGCTGTTCTGGAGTAAAGTCTCCTGCAGTGATCCAGGGACAAAATGGGGATCACCTAAGAGGCAGACACACCATGTGCCTGCTTTCACTTCACCATGACTTCTCATCTGACTCTGGCATTGTGGGCACAGTGGCACACACTTGGACGGCTGAGATAGGAAGTTGGCTGCAAGTTTGAGGCCAGTCAGGACTGCACAGTTACACAAACCAAAACAAAGTTCATCTGAGTTTCCAAAAGAAGAAAAGTTAGCTTTCAACTAGAGGACTAGCACCTTTCCCAAATGTACCATGTTCCAGAGCTCTGAAAAGACGTGAGGCACGGGAGGTGGGACTCCAGCTAAAATGCTCACATCATGAACAGATTAATTTTAAAATTGTGTCACTGGTTTTCTTGGTTAAGGTAATTGTTTTTCCTTAATTTTTTTTTTTTTAAAAAGCTATATCCCATGGTGGCGCACGCCTGTAGTCTCAGCTCTCGGGAGGCAGAGGCAGGCAGATCTCTGTGAGTTCAAGGCCAGCGTGGTCTACACAGTGAGTTCCAGGACAGCTGGCAGACCCTGCTTCCAAATGACCAAAAAAAAAAAAAAAAAAAAAAAAAAAAAAAGCTATATCCCTAGCCCTAAGGTAAAAACTTTTATAAAAAACCCTTTTGTAAGAACTCCAGGAAGTTTCAAACATTGGTGTCCTTATACACTTGTCAATTGTTCCCCCTTATCTACAATCCTCCAATTCTCTAACTTGTACTTTTTTACCATTCTACAAATAGTGGCTTATTTTTCCAGAAAAAGGGCTGTGAATCACTCTTCTCCATAAATGAATGTGAAGGTAGGTATTCCCTTCCACCAACATGATGTACCAACATGATGTTAAAATGACATATACGTTTGGTAACTTCTAAATTAAGAAACCAGGAAGAACATTAACCTTAACTTAGCTGGGGGCATTAGTGTGCACACATATAGTCCCAGCTGCTTGGGAGGTTAAGGCAAGAGGATGGTTGAGACCAGGAGTCAGAAGACAGCCTGATCAATGTGGCGAGATCCTGGCTCAAAAACGGACACCACTGTATTTAACGTGACACTGTATAATATACCACAAAATTTTGCCTTCCTCTTTATTACTGTACTGTTTTTAGAACTTAGGAATCAGCACACATAGAGATTCACAAAGCCTGTACAGAGATTGTGATTTGGGGAAGATGACAAACTTCAGGTTAGTTGTTTGCTACTTTTTGTCACTGAGTGCCCCTTCAGTAAATGCAGGCCACAGACCAATAGGTCTCAGACTTGCAACTAAATTTGTGCCAATCTTCCTGCCTCAGCCTCCCAAGTGCTGGGATTACAAGCATGTACTACCATACTTGCTTTAAGATGAGAGTTCCTGTCCCTATTCCCACTTTGTTGGTAAAACTTACTTCACTTTCCTTAGTGGGGGTTACTCTCCTCATCTCTAAAACTGGAGGACCACACAATTCCAACCCTAAGGAGCATCACTTTTCCACTCTAGAATTAGACTCTGTACAAGGTATTACCATACCTGATAAAAAAAATATCCTAGTTCACTTCTCTGTTGCTGTGATAAACACTAACTAAAACCAACTTGGAGAGGAAAGGGTTTATTTTGTTTTATAACACAAGTCATGGTCCAGCCCTGAGGGACATGAAGGCTGAAACTTAAGGCAGGAACTGAAGCAGAAACCATGGAGGAATGCTTACTGGCTTAGCCTTACAATACAGCACAAGAAACACTATAAAGAGGTTCCTACAATGAATGGATTTGTGGGGTGCTCTACCCAGATTTTTCTCTAGCTGATTCTGAAAAGGAAAAGCTTGTTTCTGGTGGAAGACGGGCAGAGTATGGTGACAGGAAAATTACCCAGAGCACTAGACAGACACTTGTGGCAACTAACTTCCTTTCCTTTGTCCTAGGAATGTGAGATGCAGTGAGCCAAGGGAAGGGCACAAAATCACTGTCCTTTAAAAGAAGAGTCCATGCATCGTGATCCATGCAGTGACTGTGATCAAACTCCCATGTGAGTACCCTTCTGGGGAGGATTCTAGAAATGAGACCTGGGTAAAGACAGGAATTCAGAAATATAGAAGACAGAAAAAAGAACATCCAAACAATCTTCATCTGCCGAGTCCCCTTAAAACCAGGTGTGCTTATTAGTTTTTAGTGTCAACTCTACACAACCTAGAATCATCCGAGAAAAGAGCCTCATGAGGAACTTAGATCAGGGTGGCCTGTGGGCATGTCTATGGGGACTATCTTGATTGTTAATTGATGTAAGAGGACCCAGCCCATGTTGGGCAGCACCATTCCCCAAGGAGGGGGTGTATAACAGGAGAAAGCCAGCTGAAAACAAGCAAGCAAGCAAAGATACATATATTCTTTCTTTGCTCTTGACGGTAGATGGGACTAGCTGCTTGAATCTCTGCCTTGATGTCCCCAAAATGACTGAATGTAACTTGGAATTGCAAGTCAAGTAAAAATAAATCCTTTCTTCCTTCATGTTTCTTTTTGTCAGGTGTTTTACCACAGCAACAGAAATGAAACCAGAATGTAAGTAAAAATACAGGCAATCAGAAATTTCTTTGAAAATGTTGAGATACACTAGTACCTGTATTTCTTTTTGGTCCTTATAGTATATAGTACAGATGACAAAGAGCAAGGCACACTAACTACTTGATTCTTCAAGAACCCTAAAACAGAACAGACATATTATCTAAATTTTACATTTAACCTTATCATCAAAAGTTTATAAAACATAATTATCATTTCAGAAATTCAAAGCGTCAAACAGCCCTACTAATAGCCTGGTCAAATTATTATTTTATAGTTGAGGCAACTGAAATTCACTTACAGATTGTAACTGACCTCAAGGTCTTGGGCTAATTGCCAAGGATGGAACTCTGCATATGAGTTAGGACTGAACTTTATGTGTATGCACGTGTGTGTGCATGTTCGTGTGTGTGCAGATACCCAAGTGTGCTTTCATTTTTCAGATGCTGTCCACCTTGTTTTTTGGAGACAGGATCTCACACCATGCCTGTCCTTTCTTAACATGGGTTCTGGAGGACCAAACTTGGTCCCTATTGCTTGCAAGGCAAGCACTTTAACAACTGAACTCTCTCCAGTCCCTGGGCTGAGCTTTTAAAAGGTCTAGTTTACTTCACTTAGAAACAAATCCTTCATCTAGTGCAACACTAATCTTTTAGAAGTATGTGGTGCAGAGGCATTATGTTAATCTTTAAAGCATCCTACTAGTCAGCATGACAAACACCATTTTATTAATATGAAGCAGTGGGACAGATCTTGAACAGAAGCACTGATTCTCCACTATGAATGTACACTGATACTCTGGTGTAGTATCAGGCTTGATGCAGTCATATTACGTGTCATTTACTTTCACTTCCACCTGTGTAAAAAACATTTACATTTAGTGGCTGAGGAAATAGCATGCAGCCGTTCTATCTTCTTTCTAGTTTAAATGCATGTAAATGCTCTCATGTACTGTGGAGTTTTCACCACGCAAATATGTCATAACATACAAATTCTCAGTATGCTACTTCTGCCCTGCCAGATTTCATTTCTTAAAATTGGAGAGGCTAAAAAGAAAGAAAAAAAAAACAGTAATATGGTGGTACAAAAGATCTTTTTAAAAGGTCCCCTTCTGCAGAAATGTTTGAGAATACAGTTAGTCCTATAACGAGACTGTAATCAAGAACATCCTACAAGGACATGAAGGCAGACCACTCTCTTGGAGAGTTTCTGATCTTATTCGAAGTAGAATGACTAGGAAGGAATTATAGAGATTCTAGAAGACTCTCCTAGAGAGATGACTTTAAACATATTTTGAGTTGGTAATGACTATAGCAAAGACAACATGATACTGAATGACTCTTTTGAAGAAATGTGTGTCCAGAAAGACGCAATAATATAATCTAGTGCTGCTATTATTTTAGGCTTTTTTGTAAAAACAAGAGGCCAGGAAAGCAGGAAAATGTAGCACAATGAAAAAACAAGGAAGCACTCCAGAAGAATAAACACATAACACAAAAAACGTAAATGGTATCTAATAAATTTTCATGTCAAATTTAACTAAACATATAAAAATTATAAATGGCAACTAATAAATCCCCATGTCAAATCTTTTAACAAAATCCACAAATAGATTATAAAAATTGAACAATCATAAATGTCTTATGTATAAAGTTTTAAGGGAAAGTTGTAATTTCTGTATTATTCTGTTTAATCAAATACTTGCAGAATTTTAGTTACTGCTGGCAGCAGCTGATACATTTGTAAAGTAACTGTTATGAAAATAATATCACAATTAAGATTTGGCATAGTAACAACCACTAATCTTCAGTCATCCACAAATGTTAACCGTCCAGGCCCTTCGTTCTTCATCCACCTCCTGTATCTCTTCCATCTAGGGTCATTTGCCAATTTTTTCTTTAATTCTTCCTCCTGTTCTTGTTTGTAGACCTGTAAGTATAAATAATGTAAAAAGAAACCTGTGTCACTGTATTCATAGCATTTTTATAGTTTTTTACTATAACTTTAGGTGACTGTATTGGGCTGTCTTCTGAAGTCTATCTTGTTCTCGTTTATTTTTTATTTTTATGTGTATGAGTGTTTAGCTTGCATGGAAATACACCCATATCACCCAATACTGTGGAGGCCAGAAGAGGGTGTCAGATTCCCTGGAACTGGAATTGCAGATGGTTGTTAGCCACCATGTGAGTGTTGGAAACTGAACCCAGTTCTTAGGAAACATCAGCCAGAGCTCTTAACTGCTGAGCCATCTCTCCAGCCCCCAAGTCTGTCTACCCAATATTATTAATAAAATTCAATATTCGGTGCCAGAAAAACATAACCATACAAAAACTAGAACTTGGTTTTTATTTTTTGTTTTTGAGACAGTATCTTTTACTGTAGCCTCACGCTGACCTGGAAGTTGCTATGTAATTCAGACTAACTTTGAATTCTCAATCCTCCTGTCTCAGCTTTCCAATGTCTAGGATTACAGACATATATCACCATGCCCAGGCCTGGCTTGAATTAGTACTTTTTCAAAACCACTTATTTCTATGGTCGGGCATGGTGGCACGCCTTTAATCCCAGCACTTGGGAGGTAGAGGCAGGCAGATCTATCTGAGTTTAAGGCCAGCCTGGTCTACATAGTTAGTTCCAGGCCAGCTGGGACTACAGGGAGACCCTGTCTCAAAAAGACCAAAAAAAACAAAAAACAAAAAACAAAACCCCCCACTTATTTCTGTAATTTACAATTACAATCTTTTTCCTCATTGAAATCATATCATACATAAGCTAAGTTTAAATATTATTTCCTCTCTACAACCAATGTCTAATGTTATGGAATCAACACTTTCAATGCTGTACACTGTTAAGTTTAGGTATTTTTTTTTAATTATGTTTATTTAGTGTTTATGTATATGTGTGCCCAACTGTCAGAAGATAACTTCAACTTGTGGGAACTGGGGATCAAACTCAGGTCATCATGCTTGGTGGCAAGTACCTTTACCCAATGAGCCATCTCACTAGGCCTAAGTACATTGTAAATTTAACCAATGATTTTCAGATTTGTTGACCTTAATCGAGGAAAAAATTGACATTAAATATATATTTGCCTCTAAACTGAACTTTCACCTACTTTTCAAAGATAATTATCAGTATTTTTTCTTTGAAGTCACCAAAGGTTATATAAATCACACAGGTTAAGAAAAAAGAATAGGGGCTGGAGAGATGGCTCAGTGGTTAAGAGCACTGGCTGTTCTTAAAAAGGAGCTGGGTTTGAATCCCAGCACCCACATGGCAGCTAACAACTGTCTGTAACTCCAGTTCCAGGGGATCTGACGCCCGTTTCTGGCCTCTGTGGGCACTGCAAGACATGGGAGCATTTTCATACATGCTGGCATAACATTCATAACATAAAATAAAATAAACAGAAAAACCCAAAGAATAACTGTAATTTTTTTTTCTTTTTTGTCTTTTTGAGACAGGGTCTCCCTGCAGCCCCAGCTGGCCTGGAACTCACTATGTAGTCTAGGCTGGCCTTGAACTCACAGAGATCCACCTGCCTCTGCCTCCCAAGTACTGGGACTAAAGGAGTGTACCACTATGCCCAGCTAGAATAACTGTATTTTTTAAATTATGAGTCAGTTGAAGCTAAATGGACAAACTATTAGAGCCAATTTTAGTCACATTAATTTTTTTTTCTCTTGTATTTTTGGAGAGAATTTTCCTTATAGCCCCAGCTGGTCTGGAACTCTCTATGTAGACCAGGCTGGCCATGATCTCACAGAGATCCGGCGTGCCTCTGCCTCCTGAGTATTGGGAATAAAGGCATGTGCCACCATGCCTGGCTTAGTACAATCTGAAAAACATAGTTTTTAATGATAAGATCCTTCAAATAGTTGTATGTTTACTTGTTAATGTGTGTGTGCATATGTGCATGTGGAAGCCCAAGGCCAGTATCACGTGTCTTTCCTTGGTCACTCTCCACCTTTCTTTTTTGAAACAGGGTCTCTCACTGAACCTAGGTCTCATGGATTTGGCTAGGCTGCCTGGTGAATGAGTTTCAGGGATCCACCCATCTTAGTCATCGCCCCAGTTTTTCATGTGGGTTCTAGGGATCCAAGCACAAGTCATACTTGTAAAGCAGGTGCTTCACCCACGAAGCCATCTCCCACACTTCAAATACTTTTAAAAGCTAAGGAAATAGTACAATACCTCCCATTTTTAGGTAATTTGTAAACAAGCTGAATTTATTTACTTGCCAATACACCTGCAACTCCTAGTAAATGAATTTATTTCATATAATTCAGACTTTCAATAAAAATCTATTTGGAACATTGCATACAAAATGGAGGAACTATGAAATTATAAAAAAAAAAAACTAACACATCTTCAATTTCTGAAGAATGTTTCAGTGCACTCAATTCTTTATTTATTACAATAGCCGACTAATTGTATAATTGTATCCAGAACCTAGAACAGACAGTATTGTTGATACTGAGACTCTTAACATTGTATGGAGCTGATCACCTCTAAGTAATTCCTTAGCTGACAGTAATAGAAAAAAGCATTTAAGAAAATGCCCAGTTTAAAGGTGTTACAGTAAGTTGATTTAAACTAAAAGTAAAATAAACTTTCCATACATATGGTAGTTATTATTCAGAAGATTCTATGCTCAATTATTCTGAAACTATTTCAACAAAACCTCTCTCTTCTTTCTCTCTCAAATCCATGTGGCTCGGTTTACATGACTAGAGGTGTCTTGGAAAAGACCAAATTTCAGTCAGTGCAGTTAACAGTGTTTGAACAGCATTCTACGTACACATGTGATTCCACCAAAGTTAAACACAACACATTAGACTACTCTTAAAACTTATCAGAATATTTGAACTGCACTTTTTAAGAAGACAAATATAGGTTAAAAACCCACTGTCCAATTATAAAACAAGTCGTACTTTAATAAAAGGCCTGCATTCATTACTTAACTCTTAGCTTTCAGAAATTTAAGAAAGGAATTTCTGTGCTCTCTTAACAGCCCTAGCTTGTGCTTGTGGGAAGAGTGACAGGAAGCACAGCAGGGCTGCTCCTCACCTCGTAATTCTCCTTTATCCAGAGCTCTCGCTTCAGGAAAGTTTCCTTCTGATGATCTTCTAAACTGTCAAACTGAGACTGTGACATCTTCATAGACTTCCGTATGATATATAGTCTCTCTTGCTCCCCATATTCTTTGCCTTTGATGTTAAAATTATAGATCCACCGACAGTACCAAGCTATGTATGAGCACAGGTGAAAAGGAGCTAAGATAATCTGAAACAAGAGAAGGTCACGTATTTGGGGCTTCTGGTAGCCCCCTTTAATATCTATTTTACTTTTTATAATATTCTTTATGATGTTCTCCTCCTCGTCACGAATTTCTTCTTTAGACTTTTTGGCTTTGCCTTTTTCTTTGGCTTTTTTGAGCAGTCCCTGCTCCTTGGCAATTTCTGTTGCCTGGATGCGATACTTCGGCACTGTGGCTAGGTAGTTGATTGCTTTATTGTAGCTATTCCACCAACTGAAATACTAGACCATCAAACAAAGGAAAATAAGTCATTTAATTAGCAAAACCCATCTAAATGCCATTCCCCAAGATACCCACCTGATAACAAATAGGGGCCTCAGCCGAGTGCCATAGCCCACACCTGGAATCTTAGCACGTTGCAGGATGAGGCAAGAGGATCATGAGCCGAAGACCAACCAGGGTTATAAAGCAAAACCGTATCTCAGAAAACCAGTAATAATAATAAGAGTGGTCTCAAAGGTTTTTATTTATTAGTAAAATGCCTCTCCTGCCCCTGCCCCCTTCTATGTTTACCAGAGGAAGAGTTAAATTGCAAAATCTAGCTGGCAAGAAATTTGGTTTAAAACTTCACAGGGTATTGTCTCAGGCAACTATATTCATTTTCATCTCTTAACTAAACTATTTTCTCTCTCCCCACTTCCCCAGGAATGCTTACTCTATTCTGAACCAAAAGATTCAAGTATGTTTGAACTCTCCTTGTTTGGCAGGAAAGCATTAACTTACTTCATAAATATATTCAACCACAAAGGGTTTTACTGTCAGAAAAAGCCTCCTCACAGAGTACATCCATATGTTTCAGCTCCTACACTAGTAATATCATGAAACAGTACAGAGTGAACAACTACTAGAAACAGCAAAAACAGGGGAGGAAAGGGGAGAGGAAGGCAGGACAATACTGTAAATACAGCAAATGGTGATACACTAAAAATATACCACCCTATGGTATATGTTCAATAGGCACTCTTTCATTATATAAATTGCTGGAAATTAACCTAGAGAAGCAATTTTTCAGGACTGGAGTGATGGCTCAGTAGTTAAAGGCACTGGCTGCTCTAGCAGAGGACCCAGGTTCAGTTCCAGCACCATGTGTCATAGCTCATAATGATCTGTAACTTCAGTTCCAAAGGATCCAATTCCTTCTTCTGGCCTCTGTGGGCACTACATGCATCTGGTACACTTACATGCATACAGGCAAACACTTGTACACATAAAATGAAATTTTTATTTTTTAGAAAGTAGAGAAGTAATTTTCAAACCTGCAAAGTACCTCTTTCTAGTTGTTTCTTCTAAAGAAGCACACGCTAAGTGTGGTTAGCTTAGCGTAGTAATAGGGAAAAGTTACTATAGGCTGACATTAGATGTTCGTGGTGTTTTAAAACCACATAAAAAGTCACTGTGTCTCTTTTAATCTGTGTCACTGGCTTTCAAATAGAACAGCAGCATCTTTCAGGGCACATGGAAGTGTGTGGGATATCTGAGACTGTGACAGTGAAGGCAAGTACTGCTGGCATTAGTGGATGAAACTCTCCCCACCCAAGTTTATGGGAAATGACTGAGAAATCCATCAAGGTGAAGGTGTATGATGATCCAGCCTGTTAAGTGGCAGCCAGATCCTCCAGGGAAAGATCAGAAAGAGACGGGTTTTCGGGGGGGGGGGGGTTGTATTTATACAATGACAGTCATGATCAGTTTCTTAGATTCTGTGATGACAAATATTTTAATGCTAAAGGACTATGGGGGAAGGGTGTGCTCTATCTACATATATTTGTATGAAAATGTCCTTATATAACACAGCAGCATATACAATGAGTATATACCAAAAACAGGTAGGTGATGGAATGAGTTCTGTGTTTCCACATAGAAATGTACGTATGTGTCAATACACACCTGAAACACTGAGATGGCACACACACTGACCAGGATCACCACCCTCACATCCACCTTTGGGGCTAGGCGCCTGCTGTAGTAATGGTAGTAATGGCTGTAGTACTCTTCTGGGTGATCCAGCATGTAGTCATAATCTTTCCGTGTTTCTTCATCCTGCAATATGACAAGATACTCTATTTCACAGGACATTTCATTAAACTGCCTCAGTTCATAATCTGTTAAACTGAGAATTTTTTAATTATGAAAGGTTATCCGAATAAAAGAATCAAATAAAAAACCTACAATACTTTTCAAAGTCATAAATGTGTTTTCAGAACTTTTAATATTAGGTATAAAAGCATAATAAAAATATTCCCCAAATTCTTGAGTGTTTTTAGTCTTCCCGGAAAAACCAACACTTTTACAATGATTAACTCTTTAGCTAATGCTATAGTACTGGTAAACAGCATCATGTTCCTGTAACTTAAGAACATGCTGACACCTACTCAAAAACTGCCAACAGAAAATGTGGCTTATTTTCTGCATAGATCACAGTCAGCTTCCAGGCTTGTGTAGCAAGTTTCATGCTGAAAGTAATGATTAAGACAGCAAAAAGCACAAGTCAGCCTATGCCTCCAAACCAAATTATTTTTATCTCAAAGAAACAAGAACATTAAGCATAGCATATGGTCAAATTTCAGTTCTGTGACCTTGGACAAAGTATGCTTTTCTGGGTCTCATTCTCTTTCTTTGTAAAAAGAGATACTACTACCTGCCCTAATATTTTTCTATGGTTGCTCTGGGTATCAAATGACATACTGTACAAACACGTTACAAATATGTAGTACTTAACTATTATAATACATTGTCACAGCTTATTTCAAAAATAACCTATCTTTCTTAATCATACACATTCTGTCCAAAGAATTATAGGATTCTGAAATGTTTTGGGAGATGGTAAATAAAACATTCCACTCATTTTAATTCATGTGAGTACAGGCACACAAGTCATGGATGGCAAACATATGAGTGTCAGAGGACAACCTCAGATGTCTACCCTTGCCATCCACCTTGTTTGAAACAGGGACTCTTGTTCACCGCTGTGTGCGCTAGTTAGCTGGGCTGTGGAGCTTCCAAGGATTCTATTGTCTCTACCTTCTACCTCTGTGAAGCAGCACTGGGATTACAGACTCACACAACCAAGACCAGCTTTACTAAATTCTCTGGATTTGAACTCAGGTCCTCATGCTTACACAGCAAGCACTTCACCTCCAATCCCACCTTTAATCCCAGCACTTGGGAGGCAGAGGCAGGTGGATCTCTGTGAGTTCAAGGCCAGCCTGGTCTACATAGTGAATTCCAGGCCAACTGGGGCTATAAGGAGACTCTGGATCTGAAAAAAAAAAATTTTTTTTTTGTCTAATCAAGGAGGAGCTAGAAAAGTATATATGATTCCCTTTTTATCCCACAGGAAACCCATTTTTCAACTTGTTCCATTTCACAAAAGGTTAAAGATAAAGACTAAGACCAAAACAAATCCTTTGTTCTCTATATGGACTGCAATGGAAACGATTACCCCCCAAAATAATAAGCACGAGTATTTCCTTCTAAATTAAACTATTTAACATAAAAGGTTGTGCCTTCTGAGCTAAAGATACTTCCAAATACAACCTAGTTCCTTCTCACTGCAGACAGCTATTAATGGGTTTGTTTAGGGTCTTCCTTTGAGTCCTTCACTATGCAATTTCTTAGATTTAAAATAAGTATGCTATGTGCAAACATCTTAGTGTCAACTGCATTAAAAATGAATTTTTCTGTATGAAACTGTGTATTTTAATAATGAAATGGAGATCTTTTTTAAAGGTTAAAACCTCATTTAATTTTATGTCTTATAGGGTTTATACTGAGTACAATATTGTATAACTCTATTAATTCAACTGTAAACCTAAAAATTTACAGCCAATTTTGAAAGAGATGCATCTTAGCTCTGGAAATTGTTATTGAATATGTCAATGCTGTTGTAATGAAATGCTTCTTCTAATTATGTGGTTATTAAATAAATAATTAAAAAATAAGTATGCTAATGATAAATCTTCCCTGTGTTAACTAAAATCATCACATATCTTTAAATTTTTTTAATTTTTACCTTATGTATATGAGTGTATTGCCTGCATGTATGTAAGTCCACCCACATTACACAATGCCCATGGAGGTAAGAGGAGGGCATCAGATCCCCTGAAACTGGAGTTACAGACGGTTGTTAGTTGCCATGTGGGTGCTGGGAATTGAACCTGGGTCCTCTGCAAGCGCATCCAGTGCTCTTAACTGCTGAGCCATCTTCCCAGGCCCCATCATATATTTTCTGTTAAAAATTCTGAACTGGGACTAAGGAGTGGGGAAAAATGAAAAAAAAAAATTCTGAAGTGGAGAGAGACCACTCAGTAAAAGTTACCCTATATTCATTACATTTAAAATATTTTTAAGTGCCGGGCGTGGTGGCGTACGCCTTTGATCCCAGTACTTGGGAGGCAGAGGTAGGCGGATCTCTGTGAGTTCAAGACCAGCCTGGCTACAGGGAGACCCTGTCTCAAAAAAAAACAAAACAAAAAACAAACCCTTTTAATTAATTTTCATTAGCATATTAAACTAGACTTATATTTAGATGTATCTTTAAAGACTGTTTCATGGCAGTACATGGAGGGCCACAATAATGTTATATAAGGAAGCATGGGATCAGGCTGATACTGTTTTCAAATTCACACTCTCTATGTTCTCTTTTGTCAGAAAGGGTTTTCTTGTGGCAGTTTCCATACCATCAATCCACTGTTCCTTTATTAAGTTACCATATACTATTCCAGAGTTTCTAACCTAGGAAGGGTGGATCCCTACAGCTATATGGACAGCTCCTGAGGACTTACAGCCCACACCTCTTGATGTGACTCATTGAGTACTTCAAGATATCTTTGCAGAATTTCTCCCTTTGCCTACTATTTTTTGCTTCAGGTGGCTAACTTCAGAGAAATGTCCTGCTGTAGGCCCGAAACCCGACCTTCTGATCTTGACAGGTACCTTTTGAAATGTATTCAAACAGGATTCTTTTTACTTCAACTAGATTACACACAAGTTTGAAACCAGATGCCTCACTGAATTCAGATTCCTGCCACCCTGTGCCGGCCCTCTGTCCAACTTGGTTGATTGTACTCCTAGTTGAAGTCTACAGCAAGGTCTCTGCGTGGCACTGAAACCTGACATTTGGACACCAATGCATCCGTGCCTGTTCACTTGTCTCTTAGTCAAGTTCACATTCCATAGAATTCATATAGCATCCCAGTTCAAGCATTTCATCCAACTCTTCCTCTGGGGTCATGGTCTTCTTAGTCCAGCCTGTGACTTCACCAGATCCTGAACTCTAACAAAGTGGAAGTCTAAAGCTCCAGCAGAAACTCCAAAACCTACCTTGTGTCTGCCCTCTCTCCTCAAAAAATCTGAAGGTCTGTTCAGAACCCCTAATGTGTTCTCAAGCAACTTAACCCTGTAAAAGGTCACAGGGTCAAGTCTGAGTTCTCTTGGGTGGCTTCTTTTCCTGAGAGGCATAAATTTATGCTCCTATTTTGGTCGTCATAAAGGAGTAAAAAAAGTTGGCCACCTCATTATACCATTTATTCATTTTGCTTAACTTTTCACTGTAAGACTTAAATATTTTTTCTATAAAATGAAAATAAGCCAGGTGTGGTGGCACAGGTCTGTAGTCCCAGCACTCAGGAGGCAGAGGCAGGCAGATCTCTTGTGAGTTCTAGGCCAGCATGGTCTACATAGTGAGTTCCAGGCCAGCTGGAGCTGCAGAGAGACCCTGTTTCAAAAGGCGAAAAAAAAAAAGAAAAAGAAAATAACCTTTCACCTGAGGCATGCATGTAATTTAAAAGCTATTTAAAGTTACCACAAAGTGGTAAAAGGAGTTCTCGACAACCTACAGTCAAAATTCTATTCTTTAGTAACTTACAAAGTTTAAGACACAACAATACAAATAGACAAAGACAGAATAATGACTTTCTTTGGAGATGGGGGATCGTGACCAAAGCTAAGGCACATTCTTATTACAACATTGTATTTTCTTCCTCATACTCATCTTAGAACTGAGGTATCCCCAAAAGTTAGGCTCTTATATCTTGAATGCTTCCCCATGGTCAAAGTTTAAATTTCCTTAGCATGCAAAAAGGCCTCTACACTGGCCCAAACTCACCTACCCAGCAATGCCTCACCACTTTGCTCTCTTTTATCCATGGCAAACATTCAGATAGCAACTTCTGGCATTTAGTGTGCTCTTCCAATGCAATATGCTTTCTCCTGTCTACGTCTTTGAACAAGCAATCCTCTCTAATTTGAAGCCCATTCCTTTCTTACAATCTCATGAGCGCTCCTAAAAAACATGAATGTTACTGCCTCAAACAGATTTTTGTACTGATGAGAACTGAACCTGAGCCTTGAGCACACTGGGCAAGCACTCTATCACTGAGCTTCAACCCTTACACTGGAACACTCTTATTACACTTTCACCTATTTATTATAGCACTTATCACACTGTAATTATGAGGGGATTTTTTGTTTATTGTGGGTTTTTTTTTCTCCCTTATCCTTGAATGAAAAATTTCTTAGAGGATAGATAAGGTACTCATTAATCTCTATATATACAGGGCCTAGCTCAGTGCCTGGAGGTCAGTATAATGTCATTTCAAAAATGAGTGAAGTGTTCTAAAAGTTTTCCCTTGTTATACATATCGTTCCAGCCACACAGGCCTCTAGCTTACCAGCAAGGCTGAACAAGTGATCATGTCACAAAAACTTCAGCTTATAGAAACAACTGCTTAAATTAATAGCTCATGGAAAATTTGCTAGTGTGGCTAAAATAGCTTGAACAGTTGAATATCTTACCTTTCAATAAGGTAGTACTTTTTCTTTCAGCAATATTGAGGATCTTAAGGTCCCAGGGTCAGGAGATTCCAACTTCTTTCCAAAATCAAAACCTTTATACTTGTTTCTTCCTCTCTGTCCTGAGCCTTGACAAGCAGGGCCATACACTCCTTGTTTCTAATCTCTACAGGAATAAATGGTGCTTCTGCTGGTGTCCATCCACTCCCAATCCTTTTGGGCATATGCAGGAGGACTGGAACATAACC